AGCCTTCAGAGAAGGATTTTAGTGAACTGGCTCTATTTCATCATTTAATAATCACAGAAATTAGTGAAGGAAATGAGGGGCTTGGCAGGTCATCCAGCCCATCGTCTGCCTGTATGGAACAGATCGCTGGGGCGTATCTTGTAGAGTTTTATGGTACTCCCTGCTTGAAATGATTTTTGTGCCTAGAGAAAATTAGGGACCACCTTACACTTGCTTCTTTGCAAAGGCCACAGTCCAAATTCTGCTCCTTCTCATCTGAAAACTATTTCTTACAGGAAGAAGTAAAGTGTCATATTTATTTTGCTTGAGTCATGCATCACTGCAACAAAAGTCCTAGACCAGAGGTTCTGGGGACCCCCATGGATGAGGTTCAGCCACTTATTCCAAATACCAGTTGAAGAGATGAATGGTGGCAAAGATGGGAAAGGAATTTATTCTCAATATTGTCACCCTGGGGAGAAACACAGCACTCTGTCTCTTCAAGGAGCTACAATAGTCCTGGGGTTTTAAACCAAGGGTCAGTTCTTGTATACTTGGTGATCTATAACCAGCTATAGGCTGGTTGATCAGCATCTCAGGACTGATCAACCAGTCCTGCTGGGCCTTGCTGTTGCCTGGGAGCACTTTTAGCTCTTGTTATAAGATGTTTATCCATCAGACCTGTTGTGTCCAGAATCAAAGCTGGCTGCAGGGTAGAATGACTCAGAGACACACCTAGTGCAGAGTTGACCTGGAATCTGACCCAAAGTTTGAAGGTAGTAAAGGAGACAGATACAAAATAAAAGAGCAAGCTTTTATCCTCTTGTTAGTTACCCACAGGCATCTGCAGGCCCAAGTGAAGAGTCCTACTTTTTAGCAAAAGCAGCCCGTAAGTCCCTGTTGTATCACAGGGATGGGCCAAGGCATGCACAAGTGGCAGCGGCAAACTATGAAGCAATGTTGAAGGCATCAGGTGTTTATTTCTTGCTCACACGACATGCCCAGCATAAGTCAGCAGGAGAATATGTTATCGTCATCCAACTGATGAAAGGATTTCATTATGCTCCCCCATAGTCAGCATAGGAAAAGATGGAAGCAAGGTGAATTATATTGTGTTTTCCTGGTAGTGGCATGCCTCATTCTGCTTTCATTTTATTGGCATATCACTTAGCTATTTATTTATCATATTACCTATCCATGTGCCTGGAAGGGGAAGAGTCAGAAATCCTGGTGGGCAGCATGACTGATTGCCACAAGAAAGAAACCTACACAGAATGCTAAATGGTCCGCCTCATTCTCAAAGGCCACCTGATAGTACGAGCAGGACTCTGCAAGAGTGGAGGAATGGCTTGAGCATCCTTTCTCTTCCATCGCTGGATATGTATGGACCCCTAGGATGGCCAGGTATCTGGTTAAAAGATAGTCCTGAGTATGCCTGTGAGAGGATTTCAGGAAGAGATTACCATTTGAGTGGATGGACTGAATACCAATGTGTGCAGGCAGCAGCCAAGCCCTGGAGGGACCGAATAGAACACAAAGGTGGAAGAAGGCTGAATTTGCTCTCGTCCTGACTGCTGAGCTGGCACATGGACCTTCTCCTGCCCTTGGTGTTCTCTCCTCGGACTTTTAGGCTTGGGTTACAATCCACACCATCAGCTCTCCAGCCCTCGGGCTTCCCAACACCACCAGCCTCCCAGGTCTCCCTTACGGCTTGCAGGCAGCAGATCATAGGACTTTTCAGCCTCCATAACCCTGTGGGTTAACATCTTAGATGAATCCCTTTATATGTACATCTCTTATTGGTTCTGTTTCTCAGGAGAATCCCAAGTAGCACAGCCCCTTAATATGTCAAGACTTGCAGTGACAAGAGAATGAAAGCCACTTAATAGTGATGATATTTAAAAGAGGGAGATAGCAAAAGAAAGTCAACAGATAAACCAGATTAGAAAGGTGTTTGAAACATAAATACAAGGTAGGTGTGCAGAATGCAAGCACACGTGTATGCATGTCTGTGTCTGCATGTGTGTGTGATTGACCACCACATTCCTGGTGCCCTAACACAGTGAGGAAAGCATCATATGGACAGAAAATTCACCTCAAGATGTTGAAGCCCTAAAGTGAGGAAAGTGATCACATGAGGAAATAAGTCCAATGTCAGGGGTGGTGTCTAAGTGGTTACGGATGGCTTCCACATGGGACTGGGGAGGTGAGGCTAGTGGAGCATCAGAAAGTGAAGGAAGAGGGGGTGTTGGAAATAGGAGATTATTTAGATACAGAATGGATCATTAAATAAATGAAGAACTGTAGGACCCAAGATTTTATTTTGCAGAAGTAAGGTACAAATATGGAAAGAGGAAAAATGAAATAAAATTTGTGGTTTTAGACTAGAATTGGAGGTTACTGAAATAAATTCATAGGATCGATGGATGAATGGATGGGTGGGTGGGTGGGTGAATGGATCTGTGTGTGACAATACATAGCTATATTGCTTAGATTATCCACTTGGAATGCTTAGGAGCATCAGTACCAGTAGCAATGAACATGTCTAGCCCTCAGGACTTGGTTTCCATGAACAAATATCCAATGAAATGAACCAAAACCTTGGAGAAATGACTATTTTCTTTCAAGGGAAGAAAAAGTAAAAGCTAAGCCAGAACATCTTTTTATATAAGAGGGGAAGAAAGGCTTCAAGAATGATGGAAACCTGCTTTTTGTAAGTGAAACCCAACTAAAGGAACTCTTCTGATAAAACTGGGGACAATTGGAGCATTTAAGCAAATAATAATCATAATGGATATAATCCAATGAATGAACTTAGAAACCAGAAGCACATATAAGCATAAACAGACAGACATAGAGTTTGGTGAAAAATGGGACATTGATGTAGTCATAAAGATCATTCCCACAAAAAACAATTCTTAATTCTAATGTGGAAGAGAAACAATAGTGGACAAGCCTAGGAGACACCACTTTAACCTAATGATCTCAGGGAACATTACCAGTAATGGGAACAAAATTAAATTCTGTACCACCTGCTAAGATGCAAGGCAGCAGAACTTTTGTGATGTCCTTGGCAAAGATGCATAACCTGAATTCAATCGTGAGAAGAAATTAGACCAATCTTCAGTGAGGAACATGGTAGAAAATAAAACTCTGGCCCATTGTCCTTCCGAGAGTCAAAGTCATAAGAGTAAAAGACTGAAGAAATGTCCTGGGCTGACAGCATCTACAGAGATGTAACAACAGGATGCGACACGAGATTCTGCTGTGAGCCCGTTTGCTATGAAGCAAGGGTCCCCAACCCCAGGCCACAGGCCGGTCTGTGGCCTGTCAGGAAGTGGGCTGCACAGCAGGTGGTGAGTGGCAGGGAGCAAAGCTTCATCTGTTTACAGCTGCTCAGAATCGCTGGCATTGCTGTCTAAGTCCCGCCCCCGTCAGATCAGCTGCAGCTTTAGATCCTCTTAGGAACGTGAACCCTAGTGTAAACTGTGCATGTCAGGGGTTTGGGGTGCCCACTCCTTATGAGAATCTAACCACCAATCTCCCCCACGCTTCCACGGAAAAACTGTTTTCCATGAAACCAGTTCCTGGTTCCAAAAAGTTGGAAACTGCAGCTGTGAAGGACATTATTGGAACAACTGGCAAAACCAAATGAGGTCCAAGTGCTAGAACATCTTAGAGCATCAATATTAATCCCCTGATATTTATGGTTGCAGGGCAGGTCTGCAGAATACTTATCTTGTTTGTTAAAAATACTGTTACTTCCGGTGTGGTGGCACATGCCTATAATCCCAGAACTTGGAAGGCTGAGGGAGGCAGATCTCTAGGAGTTCTAGGCCAGCCTGGTCTACATAGTGAGTTCAAGACCACCCTGGACTACAAAGCAAGACCCTGTCTCAAAAATTTTTAAAAAAGAAAAATATGTTAAAGAATTTGGAGGTGAAGGGACACACCCCTGAAATGGTTCAGGAAAATACAACATGACTTAGTATTCAAAGTACAATTTTTATAAGCTTTTTATTTCTTCAAAATAACAAAAACATAAAAGTTATAATAAAAGTAATGAAAATACATGAATGACATAATTAACAGAATAAGAAAGTTGCAGAGCTGAATGGTGAACATGGTGTCCTCGTGGACCCCTCCACTATGATTCCACAACCACTCCTTTACATGTGTGCACACATATGCCCTCAAATGCACGTTAAACACACATATGCTCCTAAGCACACACACACACAAATGCACACCTGCACAAGCCTGCAGTGTTGATGGTCATCACCTCTGGCAGGAAGATTAAGTCTGGAGTCACTTCTGTGGCTTGTCTGAATTGTCCAGCACTCACTGCCAAGACCAGCAGCTCCTACTGCGATGAGAAAGTGCACAGAAAGGCTGACAAGCTTGTTTGTTCTCCAGGCTTTTCTGAGTTCTTCCAGCCTTGTGAACTCGCAGCCACAGCTTCATGTGGGCAGCAAGGCTGGAGTGGGAAGCCACAGGGGAGAGCACCCTCTGCACATCCTGGCTCTTGTGTTTGTCTCACTGTGCCCACTGCACAGAGTGTAGCTTGAGAATGGCCCCAGGGGAAGCCCCTGCCCCACTTAACCTCACAATCACCAGGCTGCTGCTGCCTACATTGCCAGCATTCCTCACTGGCAGCCAGGCTGACTGGCTCTGCTCTGCTCAGCACAGTGTGAAGCTGGGACATAATCAGCGAGAACCTCAGTGTGGAAGAAGCCAGGAGCTGGGTACTCTCTCAAGGCTTCCAGCTAGTCTATTCCCCAGGGCAGAGCGTGGGGAGCTGTGGACAAGCCCCCTGCTGGTCCTTTCACATCATCAGAGAGGCAGCCAGGCCAGGACACTGAAGGTGCCCACTGAGCAGGTCCTTTCTCGAATCAGCGACTCCATCAGCACCAGGAGTCTTGTGTTGACAGCACCATGCAAATTCTCAGTGATTCTTATCTGGAACTTGGGGCAGATATTTTAATGAATCTTAAATAAAAAGATGAATTAAAATCAAATTCTTTTTTTTTTTTTTGGCAGGGGTAGGGGTTGCACCTAGGCCTTGTGCATGCCAGCCAAGGGCTCCACCACCGAGCCACCCAGCCCAAATTTGATTTCTTATGTGGGACTGAATGATGGAAAACTGAAAGTCTTTGTACCTAGTTGGTCACTGGAGTCATCTGGAGAAACTGAAATCTAGGACCGATTGGTAGCCTCACATTTGTGGGCTCAGCAATCCTCATGGAGTCCACAGGAAGAGTAGAGTGACAACAAAAATATCTCCTTTTTCTTTTTTTCTTTTTAACCCCACACATGGCAGCATCATTTGCAATTTTTTTAACAAACATGCATTAATTTGCTAATTCCAAAAACACAAGGAGGAAAAAATAAACCATCATGAAAATCATTCCAGCAGAAGTGCCTTTTTAGGTTAAGGATTCAAATAGCAACTCTGAACTTGGAGATTCATCCATTTGGCTCAAACAGGCTGTATTAGGAAGACAGCAGGCAGTGAGAGGACAATCCTTGCTAGTTACATCATTAGGTACAATCTCCTTTACATTCAGGTGGCATTTGATGGTCGGCAAATTTCAGCAAGTATTTTTATTTAAACGTTGATTCTCAACGGTACCATAAAAATAACTGATGTGAAACCTCTGTGGTTCTGGAGAAAATGCCGATTTCCTGGGCTCCACCAAGTCTTGTATCATCAGAAATGCTGGGGATAGATATCGTTCCAATTTTAGTACATGTGCTGCTGAAGCGAGCATGACGCTGGGGATAGAAAAGCAATGTGACATCTGCCCCGGGCATCTCAGGGTGCTTATGCACGGTGAAGCTTAACGACCACTGAAGTACCTACCACTAGTGCTCTGAGAGGTGAGGCAGACAGTGCCAGAAGGCTCCATCACGAGGTCACTGGGGAGAGGACAGGACTTCCGATCCTCCTCACTTTCCGGAGCCTGCAAAGCCACAGGGCGGTGCAGTTCCTCAGGAGGACCCTGGGAGCAGGTCCCACAAAAGCTCCCTAACCCTTCTGCCGCTTAGTGCAATGACAGAAGAGCAACTTCTGCCACGGGAAATGAAAGTACAGTGATTCCCTGTGACCCACCTCGACAGTCAAGTGCTCCAGAAACCGCGCTGCTCCCCGGGGACCAGGACAGAAGTCCTTTTGCCCGAACCACACAGTCTGGTTTCTGCTTTGAGGGCTCCCGGGTGAGGTGACTCCACCCCTCACTCTCACTTCTGGGCAGCCGGATCCCAGCAGCAGGAACAGGCGGAGGCTCGGGTAGTAGAAAGTGCTAAGTGTACTCCAGAGACTCAGAGACCAGGCAGGGAGTTGAGGAGAGGGGTGCACAGCACAGCCGGGAGCGCGGGCACCCGGCCCGACAGCTCCTCTCGGCTGCTCTCACAGGGCGCAGGAGGGCACTTTGACAAGGTGAACGTCTCCTTCCCCTTAGACCCCCCCACCAACCTTTTCAAACAGGTTTTCTTCGCCTCCTCAGGAAAAATGCACAGCCAGAAGCAAACAGGGTGTCACACTTCCTGCCACCTCCATCACGATCCCCTTAGGTCCCTGACCACACCTGCCCCGCCCTCAGTGGCCCCAGCAGGCCTGTCCAAACCTGTGCTGAAGAGGCTGGGATCAAGAGTAATGGAGGAAAAGCTTTTTTACAATCCAATCCAGAGTGGGTGTCGGTTGGGATCCTAGAGGCAGAAATAAAGTTGAGTTACAAGAAACTTTTAAGGAATTATTTTCCTTGGGAAGCTACATTTATGGATTCCTGCTCAACCTGCTGAGCTTTTAAGGAAGCTGCCTGTTGGCTTGCAGGAGGGGTCAATTTCCTTGGCCTCCCGCTCTAGGTGTCCATGGGGACTTCCTGTGGACTGGAGCCCGGCAGAGGCCTGGGCTTCAAACCCACTGAAATGAGCTTCTACGGGTACCAGATCCACTAACTCAGACCCTGGGGTGCACAGGCCTGATGCCCAACTTCCCATAATCAAAGACTCTCTTTACAGTGCAGATACCATGACTGGCATGATGGCACAAGCCTGTCCTCCCAGCTGCTTGGGAGGCTGAGGTGGGAGGATCTTAGGCTGGAGGCCAGCCTTGGCAACTTAGTGAGACCCTGTGTAAAAATAAAATTTTAAATGCTAGGAATATAGCTCCATGGTACAGCACTTACCTAGCATGTGTGACACCCTGGGTTCCATCCCTAGCACAGAGAGAGAGAGAGATGGGGGGGGGGGGACAAGGAGAAAGAAAAGAAGGAGACTGAGAGAGCAAGGGAGGAAGGGAGGGAGAAATAAATCAGACACAATGAACAAGGTGAGGCAGTCAGACCTCTCCCATCCCTCCTCACTACCACTCACCACAAGCCACTTCTGTACAAGCTAGGAAAAGGAGCTCCTTGTTAAAGAACTTTCATCCATCAGAAGATGGCCTATTTATTAGGAGGTAACAATCTGATGCTTTCTTCTAGAAAACTGATCACAAATCACTTTCTGATGCCCGTGATAGAAATGGTACACCCATGGAACAGTGCAGTGTACAACTCCAACATCTGTCCCTGGAGGCCCTCTTTGTCCTTTTAACAAAGTTTGGCCCTGAAAAAACAGTGGTCAGAGCTGGGAGGAGGTAGGTCACCTACAGCACTTGGCTGTTTTAAAACACTCTGATCCCTGAGCTCAATAAATGCTAATACTGTGCTCTGCTTTCTATTCGCAGAACTTCTGCCTACAAAGAGGTGTTCTCCAAAAGCTTGCTGGGATGATGGAAGAGCAGTTTCCTGAGTGTGGGGTATACAGCAGGCACACAATAAGTGTATGTTCCTTCTATTAAAAAAAAAAAAAGATGCCTCCAATTCCCAAGGGAAGGTTCTTGCCTTATTTCCGTCCTAACAGTTGGCCTCCAGCAATCAGAAACTCACATGGACGACCTTGTAACTCGCGTTCAACTCGCGTTCAACTTCAAGTCCTAGCACTGCGCCAACCGCTGGTAGTAAAGAGGTGCTGTGTAGTTTTTCTTTTCCTTTTAACAACCAATTCAGTCAAAGAAAAGCAAATCTTGCAGAGCAGGACTTTTTAATGGCTCTTATGGACTCCACATTCCCCTTTATGGGTACTTATAAAATGTTGTCTTATCATCCCATAAGAAGGAAAGAAGGGCAAAGTCCTGTCTCCCCCGAGACCAGCCCGGGAGGCTCCTGATGTGGCTCCTAAATCTCCCGCCCTCTGGAGGCCCCCCGCTCTGAGTGTCTCTCCCAGGGCAGCAAAAGCAAGTCCTGGCTTCCTTCCAAGCTCGCCAACAGCTTCCTTGAAATACTGAAGCATGGGGCACTCCTCTCCCTGGAGAGAAGTTACCAGGCTGTTTCAGCAGCATTTCTCCTTCCAATCAGCCTGGTAGAGAGAGGGAAGAACAGAATCTAGTGCACCTTCTGATGCCACCTGTGGTTCACAAAGTCACCCCACAGGAGCTGAGACCTGTGCTGGTGATGCAGCCCTCTTCTGTCCGCAAAGAGCTGACCTGAACACTCAGAGAGAAAGCAGGGGAAGAAAGGGACAGCCACTGCGAGACACGATCACTTCCACTCTTTGCCATTCCATCCTCATGTCGGACAGCAGCCGAGTTTTATAGCCAGTTTCTCCCTAGTCTTCCTAGGGGAGCTGCTTTCTAGCCGTGGACACCACTTTTTTGATCGAATGCTTGTTATGTTAGCATTTGCTCCATTCTATTTTTTTTTCACATAGGGGGAAAAAATCATCACTTTTTTCACTGTGGTGTTAAAAATGCTAACATTCAAAGTAAAAGCTAAGTTATTTTGAAAGAAACCCTTGTGACTGTTTATATGTTTTTAAATAGCTAGGGAGAAGGAACTTGGAAGAAAACTACCCCATGTAACTCACAAAGGAAAACACAGAAGTAATTAAAACCTCTCACTCCACCTTGAGAATGGAATTGTTCGAGTTGGCCATTGTTACTCATTAAACAGGGCAATGGTCCAGGCAACCGAGTGGGCGGTAGAGGTTTTTTATTATATAATCAGGGGCTAGAGATATTTTCTGACCTAAGCATTTGGTGCAGATTCATTCCTTAAAAGGCTTAGCCAATGGCAACAGCCCCCTTTCGTGTGTGGTCATACCAGACCCAGAACACAAGACCTTGTCACTAGACGGTCTTTTCCATACACACACAACCTGCCTCCATATCAGTGTTCTCAACCACTGGGTCCACAGGCCTCACTGTCTTCCTATCCTTTCCCTTCTTCTGACTTTTCTAGTCCCTCTTTTTCTAGGACTTCTGAAAAACAGCAGTGAAGTGACTGCACAGAATGGACAGGTCATGTCAAGCCATGCTTATGTTCTCTTGTCATGAAGGTTAAAAACTAGCAATGTGGAAGCATTCACCCATCCTGCATTGATTTCCCTACATTTTCCTCCTCTTATTGATTACACTTTGACATCGAAGCTTAAGTGTGACAAAAACAGCAAAACAGCAGAGAGGAAGAGAGAAAGAGGAGAAACAGACACGCTTGCTTCTCTCACCCCAAATTGTGAGGGAAGAAGAGATATTGGCAGGAACCTCTCAGTTTCCCTGAGAACCACAGACCACTGGCTGCTCAAATTTCCTCAAAATTCCCGGTTCTTAGAAAGTCCAAGTTTATGTTCTCAAAGTGGCTTCATGGGAAATAAAGGCCTCCTAAACTCAGTGCATGCAATAATGTATTTTCTCATAAATATCAATAATGAACCTAAAATATAGTCAGAAAGCCTTCTGCCTTTGCATGAACTTTAAATACGGAGACTGGCCATACAGAAATGACTGATGTCATTGATTCATCTGAGTTTCTCTCTCTCTCTCTCTCTCTCTCTCTCACACACACACACACAGCCACGCACACACGTGTGCCCTTTACTCAATGCGCAGTGTCTTCTGAGTCTAGGTCCCTTGTGCACTTCTCTCCCTGGAGGAGGAGTACTTTAGTTAGAAACAAAAGCAGTAAGTGACTATATCCGCCACTCTGATGGAAGGCTGAAGGTATGAGGAGCATCCCAGGGCTTGCATTCTTCACCAGATAACCACTTCCTGTCACTGACTTACCTCTGCCTTTGGGTCAGGGTCCCCACATCTTTCCTGGAGACGAAGTCTTCCTGCAATGCTTGCTCCATGCACGTGGGAAGAGTCCCTGACCCCAGAATGAGGATGTCACGCTGACTCACATCTCCACTCACAGTCCTGGTCCCTATAAACACAAGGCCCTGCACTGCACGGCATGGCTGTGAACATCCCCGGGGACTGTGCTAGACTGCAGCTGCCAGAAGCCCAGCCCAGGCCATCTCTGTGCAGCTGATCTCTGGGATTTACTTCAAGATAGGGCTCCATGAAATGTAATGGTGCCTGAAAACAATGAGAGGGGCAGGAAATCTTGTCAAAATGCAGTTTCCAAACTGATAGGTGTAGGGTGAGCCTTGGCTCCATGGGGGGCTTCCAGCAAGCCCTCACCCCATGCATGAATGCTGGGGGAACACAGATGTACCCTGAGTAGACCATGCCACTGAACCTGTAGTGCGGCCAGCAGCATTCGTGTCCCCAGGAGTTGGACAGAGAAGCAGACCCTGCCTCCCCATTCCCCAGCTGTGCCGCAGGAGAGTATGAATTTTACCAAGATTTCCAGGTGATTCTTATGCACATTAGTTTGAGAACAGAACTTCAGGGTCAAAGTCAAAGACATTATTTTCTATCTGAAAGGTCAGAGGTACTAAGAGCAAAATTATCATTTTGGTTCTAAGATATCTGAAATCCACATGAAAGGCAGGCCTATATTAGAGAAGAGAGGGTAACCAACCTATTTAGAAGGCAAATTCTTAAACCCCTACCCCCTCGATACCAAAGAAAATCATTTAGGATAAGAGTTTAAGTTGCTAGCTGCAAAGGACAGGATGTGGACAGCTGTCACTTCGCTCTGCTCTCATTACTTCTTGAGACCTTTAGGCCAACCAATCTGGAGACCTCCACTGCCAGGGGACAGGTGGTTTCTATAGTCAAGGTAGGAGGCGGGGGTGGGCCCAAACCTTTAGACAGATATTGCTCCTCGTGAAGATTCTAGCTTTGTTGGGTATTTGGGGAGATCAGGAAGAGAGAGAAGCCACCACTCTAGACTCAGCAACTTGTGATGTGTATGACCCATTATAAGCATCATTTAGCTGATGTTTGCTGAAGGTGTCTATTTCAAAATTTGAAACAATAACTTGCTAAAGGGGAGAACCTCAAAACAGGAAGTTATCCAAGTTGACAGAAACTAAAAGAAAAAGGGGAACACAAACTGAACTCAAAAAAAAATTTTTAAAGAATTTTTTAAAATGTAATTAGATAATAAGTCTAATGGAATCTGGGATCACAGGGTACACCCCAAAAGGGATTAGGATCTGTGAGACTCTGTGTGCACATTTTCCATTTCCTTCTGTTGTGTTTACCTGAGTTCCTGTCTAGAGGAAACTGCTTGCTGCAGACAACTGCTAGCATTTGCAGATCAATAGATCAAGGAGCAGTCAAAGGAGATAGGAACCATCCAGGACAGAGGCTGGCATTGATGAATGTGGACAGGGCCAATGCAAATCCTATGTTCCATTAGCATTTTTGTGGACCTAGCGATTTCTGAAAACAATTTTCAAGTCATAGGACACACAGGGAGCATCTGACTCCATTTCTGAAAAAAAAACTTCTAACACCACAGCCTCCTGCTCTTCACTCCGTCACACTCCAACTCAATTTCCTTCCATCCTCCTGCCAATCTGAATCTCCTCTTGCAGCCCTACTTGTTGCTTTGTCTATATTAGGACTTTAAGTTTTAGTAATCATAGTAGGCTCTTGGTTGAGCTCCTGCTATGCTCTAGGCACCTCAGTGCTTTATTTAATCCTTACAACCAACTTTTGCTTGTTTAGAAATAAAATGATTAAAGGTCAGAGAGGTGACAGAACCTGCCCAAGGTTACAGAATGGCAAATAGAGGCGGCAAGACTCTAACCAACATCCACCCAAAATCCAAGCTCTTCTGGCCATATCATTCTGTCCTGCTGCTTTTCCTCTCTCATGTCACTCTTTCCTTTTCACCCAGTGTGCTTAAGGGAGTAGCTTCCATTTCCTGGAAGGCCATCTGACCACAACTGTCCACTGTCCCAGGTTGCCATAGCCTTGGTACCTTTTCAAATAGACTTCTTTTTGAAAGTTTCAAATGGATGTTGTATTCCAAAATGTGTACACTAGAGGTTATGGATCAAAGACAAGCACTTTGCCAGAGTTCCTTTATGATCAGAAGAAATCAGGAAAAATAAAGGCAAGCCCCCAAAGACTGTCACAGCATCTTTATGAAAGGCATTTCTACCCTGGTCTCTTTTGATAATTATTTTTGTCTGGCCAATCATAAGTGCCAGTTGGTAATTCCAATATTCTTGTGCCATTTTGCCAAGTCATTGACAAGTAATAGATGGGAGTATGATTCACCCTGGTACACAAGAGCACGTGAATTTATAGAGTCTACTTGCTTTAGAAGAACATCTCTTTTACTGTCTCTCTGTGCAATCCTGGATTTTTTTAGTATTATAAATTCAAAATTATTGACTGAAATCCAGCTGGAGGTGACTTGCACGAAGGATCTGTTACCAACATCTCCAGATAATGCTTTCTGGGAAAAGAGGGCAGTTCTTCCTGGAGATGAGTGAGTATTTTGATTTGGAGATTAATCACAAACATACTAGAAGTCATGTGGGCGTAAGTATCGCTTGCTCCCACCAGCTACAAAAAAGGGCCTCTGCCCTACCCCTAATTGCTTTATCTGACTACGGACCACGAAGTGGAGCTAAAATTCCCAGGCAACACACGTGTTATAACAGCTCCTCCTTAAAAGAAGCCTATGATCTTCTGCATTTTAGTGAGAAGAGCAGGACAGAGCCTTTCCCCAAGTCTTCAGCTGGAAAATATTGGTCTTTATACTCATGAACATTCATTCATACAGTAAGCACTCTCGTGATATTTTAGGGCATCTTTCTAAGCCTAACTTCCTTACAGTCAGTCCTTCTGAAAGAAGGGTTTACTAGGTTCATTGATTCTCTTTTGGCAAGCTTGCAACTCCTGGATTTGGACAGATTAAACACTGTAAAGATTTCCTATACCAGTTTAAAGGACATTACCAGGAAATTCAAAAAGATTTTCTTAAACTCCAGAAAACAAGAGGAAGGAAGGAGGAAGGGAGAGATGGGAAGAGAGGGAGGGAAAATAAGGGAGAGGGGAAAAAAAACATTCTTCCAAAACTGAAAGGACAAAACAATTCAACTAACATATATTAATCTTTATTCTATAACAGAGACATAAATAATTTTATGAATTCATGTGACCTATACAAAAGACAAAATAAGATATTGCACTAAATTTAGGTATGGGATATTTGGATTTAATATTAGTTGAACAGATAAATATATACAATTTAAGGAATTAAGGCAAAACCAGATGATGCTTCAAACACAACAGAAGGCTTGAAAAATAGGTATAATTAAAATCAAGGGTACCCCATTTCCAGTTAATAAAGTGGTCATATCTAAGGGGGAAAAAAATCCCTTAGGTTTTTAATAAAGCAGTCATTATCAATCATGTTAATTAAAGTTGAGCAATAAAGTATAAGATTTTCCACGGCGGGGAGATGTTTTGCCGAAGTTTGGGGACTGAACACTTAGAATTCGGGTAAGCAACTTTTTCCTTGTCAGATTTATGATCTACTTTTCCTATTAGAAAATATAATTTGGAAAATATGACTCTTTCACATAGATAATTAAAATACAACTATGAAGTATTCTTCTTTCTCTTTCTTGTTTTAGGGAAATCATGTTGGTAATCTCATAGTCAAGGTAAATTTCCAGACAAGCCATCACCTTATTTATAGAGAATACACAATGCCAGCCACTGAGAAACAATTCCCAGTTGCCTTAAGAGAACAAAACAAATTCCAAAGCAATAAAAACAAGTGTAGCCAATATATTGAAACAGCACACGGTTCTTTGGCAGTATCGCCCTAACCATTGATTGAAGTCAGAACTTTAGTTTTCTGATTCTCAGACCCGGTTGCCAGCCTTTTAAAAAATAAATAAATAAAATTCCACATCTGCAAACGAATTCAGTAATTCCACGAAATTAAACTCAGAACAAACCTGAAGACAACTTTTGACTGTTACATTTAAGCATAGATAGGTATTGTCTGCTTTGAGTCGCAATCCAAATATACTGAAACGTGTACACACAAAAATAACCTCTGGAACTTTGTGTTGGCTCAGACAGGTCTAGAATCCTTAAAGAGAATCCATATTCACCCACGAGAAACCAATAAAAGACATCAATCCAATGATGAAAATATGATCGTCCAGTAACTCAGGGGTAGGCTGCCCCTCCCCTGGATAAACACCACGGAGAAATCAAATTCTATAGGGGGAATACCAGAAAGCCAGAGAATGTGGAATACTGCCAGCCTCCAACCAAGTTACCTTTCTCAAGTTTTAGGTAAACCTTATCTTCCTTGTCCAGGTAAAGCAGGACTCCATTTGTGGCAGCTTCACGCGTGACATCTTTGTCCCCAGCAAATGCAGATATTACTGGTTTTCCATTTAACATCAAGTTAACCTACAAGAAAATAGAAATCACTGAAAATCCCCCTCTAAAGTTAAACCCCATACTGGGTATAATAAATAATGTATAAAATGGTACAGCTAGTAAAATACCTGATGTTCAGAAAAATATCCCTTTCCTTTTAAAGTAGCCAACTGTGGGGTCAGACTTAAGACACTATCTACTGAGTCGATTTTTCTTTTTAGTTTCTCCAGTAGAAATTTTCTTAATTCCTACCAAAAAATGAGCGTCCATAGAGCAACCTAGTCCTGTGAAAACTGGCTTCCCTTTGGCATATAAATTAAGCTTACTATTTATTTATCTCCTCTACTCAACAGCAACCTCTTGGTAATGAAATGGGCTTCTCAGCACTCGCTGACCTCATAAACTGAAACAAGCAGATTCTGCAAATACTTTGAGGTGTCTGTGCAGCCATGGCTGGGATAGGGAGGAAAATCATTTGAAATAAATGTGCATAAATGTGTGTGTTCATTTTTCTCTGCTTTCTCTGAAAAGAAATATGCATTACAAATATTCACCACTACCATTGGAGATCTTAATAATGGAAAATTAGCAAAGAATCAACTCAAAATTTTGTTACCTTTTTTCTATACTATAATTCCCATTACATTGTGGCAAACATTACGTAAACTTACAGATACAGGAGCTTGGAGAAAGTTTCTGCCTGGAAGCAAATTTGTTTACTACATATTCACTCCTTTTAGGTTAAAAGTAATATTAAATAAGGTAAACCTGAGACTGATCAATTTTTCCACTCACTAGGACATGTAAAACTGGTGGAAGAGTAGGTAATCTATCATTCATCTCACATGATATATGATATAAATACTGTGCACAAGATAAAATCCTATCCTAGAATTCCATAGACATACATGACCATTGTTTGGTATTAGTATATTTGAATGTTATGGAAAACAGCTCAATTGTTAGGTCAAGCCCATTATCTTATAAGGTCCAAAACACAATGTGTTATTGAATATATAACTGCAACTGATAAGAATTCACCAAACCCAATGAGCCCAGGATACACTAAAACATAAGCATAGCACATCTTTTTCAACAAGTACATAGTGAATAGTTGTTCCTTCATATGTTTATTTTAATAGCTAAATATATTTCATAGTTTTAAATGATAGTAAATTTTATTTAACATGCACTTGTAAACCTCTGCTAGTTTTATGTGTTTTTTTCCTTTAAAGTACAAGTTATTTTTGTACATGCATTAAATGAAATAAAGATTGTAGAAAGAGATTTATGTCACTGAATTTCTGCCAAATCATGTTTTATAAATGTTTGATTGTTATTAATGTAATAAACTCATTTGTTTGTTTTTTCTACATGGTTTTTGTCACACACCTAAGTGGATATTATAGAGAAGAAAACTGGGAATTAAGTGTTTTTAAAAATAAACTATAATGATTGCTATTTATTTTCACAATGAAAATACATCTTTGAATAAACATTTAAATATACAACCCACTAAACATAAATACAGTTATTTGGGAGCAGAGACAGAGTGGGTCAACACACATACCTGGATTGTTTGGCTCTGGTAGACTTTAATGACATGAAAACTGAAACTGTAGATTCCTTTCCGTGGTGCTACAAAGACAGACTCTAATGTGAAGAAATTACCCACATTAACTAGGATCTACAAATAAAAACAATAAATAACAATAAATCATTCCAGTATTTTCTTCTGTAAGTAGAATAGTTTTCCTTTCTTCCCTCCCTTCCTTCCTCCCTTCCTCTTTCTTTCCTTCCTTCCTCAACAACTAACTTCAGAAACCATAAAGAATAAAACATCTCATTCTATTTCTTTCCTCTTAAATGACTTGGAAAATGGACTCATTTATTGAAAGGTGCTTCCATCTTTTAAATGGTATAGGAAAAATAAAATAACTGCTCTGAATTCATGCCACAATTTCCAGCAAGGCCAGATGACACTGGAAATACCTAGGTAACATGTGAAGGCTTACACTATCAGCTTTACTTTGAGAATCAGACAAAGACACCACCCATGAGCTACCGTTCGCACTGCCTACGGGCCTTCAGAATGTCCCGAAGTGACGTCTCCAGGCCAGCCAATGGGCATCCGTGGCTTTCCACAGTCATCCCTGGACACATCACACAGAGCCCTGACTGGCCCTGCACCGCGCGACATAATCCGTGACACAGAGCAGTTGGTGCACAAAGTGACATGAGTGCTTTGCCCTTCCCAGAGCTTCTGCCAGTACTCTCCCAAGATCCAAGACCATTTTTTTTAATGTCTGCGCCATCTAAGCCTAATTATAATATTCTGGCAATGACTCAGCCCTTGCTGGCTGCTAAAGATTGAAGCATGAAGAGGTGGGATAGGTGGCCTTTCCTTGTTCCTCTTGGTATTATGCATTTCCCCTTTCAATCACCTGCTGTGTATTTAAAGCTCAAGGGTCAAAATTAGGTGCTATTTCCAAGAAAGAAACAATGTGCTTTGTATTCCAAGATGTTCATCTTATTTCTTCTGGTTATGAAATTAATTCTGAATTAAGTGACCTATGAAACTAAATTTGCAAAGTCACATAGGCAAGTCCCTCTCTTAGAAAAAGAGAGAGGGGGGAGCAATAAAATAACAAGAGATTCTTTCATGTCTCTCCAAGAAATAAATCTGTAAGGAGCATTACGACAAATCAGATATCCCTATAAAGATATATTTCCTTTATACCAGTGGCAATCTGCTACTATCTCTTTTAAACATCAGCTTCTTGTCAAACTTAATACATTTTATGCCTCTTGCATAATGTCCTAAAAGTGTACTATTACCTCTGACCACTATGCACTACCAGGTAGATGTACCAGGCTTCATATTTGCCTTAGAATACATGTATGCATGCGGTTTTATGGAGATTCCACTGTCTTCCCAGTAGGCATCAAATTTCTTTTCTCTGACCTGATGATGAACAGTCTTTCAACAAGACACCAGCTGTGCAATAATCCCCAACAGAGGGTTTACAGAGGATTTTTTTTCAAGCACATTTAAAATAATTTCAGGTGTTTAGCAGGGACTTCCTGACTCAGATACGAGTGGCACAATTCATTAGCAATAATGGAAATGGCTGATGTGTGTTGACTACACATAGAGCTGACTCTACATTATAATTGGAACTTCCAGGTGCATCAAGATGTATAACTAAAAGCGTCTTGTTGTCTCTAAGATGAGTCTCTCCAGGACAGAAGAACACACTCTTCTCCTCTTCTAACTGACAGGAAGGTCAGGGAAAAGAACACCCCATACAGATGCCAGGGCGATGCCCACAGTATTCCAACAGTTAATTAATGCACAGCCACGGGTGGTGCTAGACTTGATTTCCTTCACTGTAGAAAATACTGTACCAAACCCCAAAGGGGCTACTGGGTCTGTTTAAAACCATGGCCGTCCCAGAGTGAACCCCCAGAGAGGCACTCTCTGCTTCGTCAGCTGCAGAGCACCTCACTTGGGAGATCTGGGAAAGGAACACAAGGGCCACCTCACGCCTCCTCTGCTCCTCGCCACAACTGTGCCCTGTGACTTAGGAATTTAAAAGACTCCGGGTCCAGTTGGGTTTGGAATTCAAACTGCAAAGTCAGTTTTCTTCCCTAGAATGATTTCCTCAAGCTAAGCTGGTGTCCTGGGGTTTCTCATCACGCCAAGGCGCAGAGCTTGGCGTCGCGAAACGGGAAGCCCAGGCTCTCATCAGTCCCGCCCCAGCCCTCTTCTACCTTCCCGGAGTCTGTCCTCCGGGTAGTGCAATTCTCGGAAAGGACAGGGCCCAAGAAGCGGGAACCAGCTCCCCAGAGCGTTCCTCCAGGAGCTCGGCGCAGTTGTCCAATTCCTTCTCCCTTGGGAAGCAACTTTTATCTGAGTACTGGAGACCGGCTTTCTGCTTACTCCTGGCAGCAGCAGCCCCACGCGGAAGGCGTTTGGGGACCTGGCCTGGGAGAGGGGCGGTGAAATATCACACACACACACACACACACACCATCCTCTGAAGCCACCTGCCCGCTCTCTGCGCCGAGCCTGGAGCCCGGGAGCTCTCTGGCAAGAAGCTTCTCCACCTGGAGAAACAAATCCAACATCTATCCTGCGTCTGCGACGAAGGACTCTGGGCTGGGGCCCCAGCTCGGGCCGAGGGATCGCGGCGTCCAGGGGCCAGGCCCCTCCATAGCCGCTGACCTGTTGCTGCTCAACTTACCCTGAGCTCTTGCTGCCCGCTCCGCGCTCCGGAGCCTCAGTACCTCTGCCTCCGTCAGAGACCTGGAGGGGACTGAGCCCGGGGCTGCGGAGCGGGTCGTCAGAAGTTTTAGACTCAGATACACCGGGGAGCCCTGTGCCTAAATGATCCCCCGCACCCCAATCAGACCAACTTGGCCCCAGCAGGGAGCCCCGACCTGAGACTCGAGACTGCCCACCCCCTCGGTACCTCGCACTCCTCTTGCACTGACCTGATCGAAGTAAATGATCCGCGTCTTGTTGCTCATCTCGGATGGCTCGTGGTTGGTGCTCCTCACTGCCGAGAAGGCCACCTTGGAGTTGGCCGCCCGCACCGATATCCCCAGAGGGGAGGAAGAGGAGCCCTTGGAGTCCGTAGCCGGGTTCGAGTCGCACACCACCAGACACTTGCCCTCCAAGACGATTGGCTCGGTGTCGTTCTGCGCCCAGGCGGGCAGCCCGGGCAGCGCGAGAAGCAGCAGCACAGCGGGCATCGCGGACAGCGCCCGGCGCGCGGAGCCCATGGTGAGCGGTGCTCGCCCGCGTCGCCGACTCTCGGATCCCGGAGCTCGCAAGGTGCCAGCGGCTGCTAGATCGACAGCGCTGCTGGAGCGGCCGCGGCGGCGCGCACCCGTCCACCGGAGCCGTGGGTCAGAGTCTGCCCTCGAGCTCTCTCGCTTGCGCTCCTGCCTCCGTCCTTGGAGAGCTCATGCAGAACCCCTGGCCCTGCGCAACTCCGTCTCAGCAATCAGCGCCGCCTGGGGCCCCTGCAGCCGCCCGGTGCCTAGACATCCAAAAGTCGCCAAAGCCGCACAAGCACGCCTCAAAGGAAAAACAATACACAGAATCTCACCCCCAGCCCAAGCGCCCCCAGGTGAACCTAGGAGTGGGCCGGGGTCCAGAGGACGGGGGGCTCAGGGCGGCTCGGGGGCGAATCACACAGGCGGGCGGGGCTGCCCGGGCCAGGGGAAGAGAGCAGCTGCGGTCACTGCCGGGACGCCGGCGACTCCCACTTGCGCGCTGTCTCAACTCCCCCGAAGCCCAGCGCCACTCCGGACGAGGGCAGGCGGCGGTCCGCGGGGTCCCCCGGCGGGAAGCACCAGTCCGCGGGGCCGCTTCCAGGGCGCCTCGCCGGGCGGCTGGGCTCCCGGGTCTGCCCGACCCCGGTCCCCGCGCGCAACTTCCTCTGCTTGAGCCGCCCGAGAGCGCGGAACGGGCGCACGCGCGCTATTTATGGGGGCGGCGGCCAGCGCGGGTTGGCCGTGCTCGCCCCGCCGCCGCTGGGGAGCGCAGGCGAAGGCCTCCGGCGACCCCGGCCCAGACGCTCACGCCTGACGCCCGTCGCCCCGGAGCGAGCGGGGGTGGCACGCCGGTGGGCAGGTCCCAGCCGCTCAGCCCGGGAGCGCGCGGCGCGGAGGGCGGGCGCCCGGACCCTGGCTCCCCCAGCCCAGCGCTCGCCTGGCGCCTCCCCCCGCTCCGGATGGCGGACTCGCGGTATGCCCGGCGCGCCCGGCCAGGAGCTTGTCCCACAGAACCCTCGGGCCCGGCGCGCTCGGGGAAGCCTGGGGCACTCCGGGCTGCGGGGCGGCTGGGAGGAGGCGCCCGGCTCCCTCCTCCGCTCAGGCTTCGGAGGCCACCTTCCCACTTGCACCGCAAATGCACCCCTAGCAAGGCCAGAAAAAGAGAGGAAGTCCACTCCGCCAGGACAAGTTTTCAGAGACCATACCCGCTCCAAGAACAAAAGGAAGAGTCCAGCAGCCGAGAACACGCATTCCTCTCCCCTTTTGATGTCTCTCCCTCCCCCGCTCCACCCCTCTGCCATCTTGGCCTCTGATTGCCAAGGATTCGCTTCCCTGTCTGTAGCCTCCACGGGAAGGGAAGGGGGTGCAGGAGCCCGGGAAGTCCCTAACCCTCTGAGAGGGCAGCGCTTCCTAAGACCGCCTCTGATCTCTGAGTTGTGTGGTCTCTTTGGGGTCACCGCACTCCCTACCCAATTCCTGCTTGACTCCTAGGTGCCACAGGGCAGACTCCACATCTTTAATCAAAACAACACCTTCACCAACAGCCCTGGCCACACTGATGTCTCCGCGTTCCTTCCTGAGTGAAGAGCATCCATCTTACCATGGCATTCAATCCCCACCACCTCCACAGCTCAAGCAGGACCTGTGTCTCTAGTCCTGGCCCTTCATAAGGTCCTTAGGGGGCCATTGTATTCCCATAAGCACCGCATTGCAATTCCGGTTTAAATAGGAGGTGCTTCCACTGGTTGGCCATTCCCCAGACCCCACCTCCCTATAATGTTGTAACTAAAGGTTTGGTACCCGGAGCCATGGAAGCCTCTAGATTCTTCTCCATTGGGACAGAGTCAATTCTTGGTGGCAAGTGCTATTTTTTATAATGTTGAATGTCACTAATCTAAGCAGTAAGCAAATAGGTGAACTGGTTAGAGTCTTTTGAAGATGGCCATCTTCTACCCAACACAGATGCATCACCCTGAGCCCCAAATACTTGCCATCTGAAGCCTGGCTGCACTTGGTGACTCAGCTTTCACCATGGTCTTCCTGGATTAGAGCTCCATGTCTCCTCATTCGATGCTGCCCTTTGAGGGCAGGTGCTGAATCTAATTTGGCTCCTCTTTTTCTCCTGTAGGGGAGAAAGGTAGGCACTCTGCCTTTCCTGTTAAAACAGCTGTTTAGGAACTGAGCCTTTGAGCTGCTCAATTTCACACTGGGAGGAGTTTGAAAAATAAAAACAGGATGGCTACAGAATTAAGTATGTAATGAGCTGCCTTCGCTACTGACCCCAATGTATTCTATCTGCATCATTTTCTTCTTCAGGCATTTCCTTTCTGCAAAAACTCAGATTTAAAGAAACTTCTTTCTCTCTTTCTCTCACCAAAAGTATTCACTGGTAGCACCCAAATCTAGCAGAGTGACCCTGTTAGGGACTCAATAATTGAATGAAGAATGACTGACTACTTTCAAATAGGGTCAGTCATTTATCAGCCATTCATCTTATAGTAAAAACTAGTCTAGATGAGAGTCTCAGTAAAATTTAAAATCAAAGCCTCCTGGATAATTTGAGATGAAGGCCTCTGTTGCTTATGTGCTGCTACTCAAGGTGGTCTGATAATGAAACATGACATTTTCTGTCATCTCCTGCCATGAGAAGCTTTTGGATATTGTGAGTCACACAGTCATCAATTTTCTCACTGCAGTTGATTGAACTAGGACAGCCTTCAGGTTCCTGGGTGCTCAATCCATCTGACAGCAGAACTCAATGGCCTGCATGGCCTGACTTGGCCACGTGAGTTGAGGCTGACAAGCTCTCTCTTCCTGGCATCTGAATGAAATACCAAGGTGCTCCCAAAGCAGCAGGTGCTATAGAAATTAGGTCTGTAGTCTTCCAAACTGGTGTGATCTGGAAGCTGAAGACACTGTTGTGAGAAATAGGAGGACTCACCCGACACTTGAAGACAGAAGCCAGTTATGGGGACTGAGCACTATTGAGAGATGGAGGGAGTAAAAAGTCCTTAATTTCTCCTCACAAGAGGTCCAGCAACTCTTCTTCTAACCTTGGGTTTCTTGAGATCCTCCTGCATCCTTTTATAAAACCCCTTCACTGGAGCAACTTTTGATAACCTACTGTTCCTTCATGAGGTAGCCTCCGTAAGGTAACCTAATGTAGACCTCATTAGAACAGTGTTTCTGAGATCATACCATAAAGGTCATGTGTCTCTTCCAAAAGACACTACTCCCACTGCAATCTCCTGCCTATGAAAAATGTTTTCTGAACGTTTGGGGAAAAGTATCACTTCCTGCTCCCTATCCTCTACCCTACCCCCAGCATCTCCAGGAGAAAAGAATCAGGCTCAGGCCCAAGTTTCTCTCCAGCCAGAGCAGTCTCTCTCTTTTTCCTTTTTTTTTCCCAGTTAAAAATATGCTATTAGAAAACATAGCTGTGACCCATATGTTTCTCTTTTGTGAGATTCCCAGATTGTATTTGAGGCCCAAGAAATTTTTTTCTAGACTTCTGGAGGCAAGGCAAGAATGAATTTCATTTCTCTGCAGTTGGGCTCAACTTGCAAGTAAATTAGAATCTGATGTTTCATAGGAAAGCAACTCCTGTGGTCAGTAAATTCAATGACTGCTCACCCATCCATCCTAAGAGAAACTAAGATTCAAGCAAGCCCAAGACAATGAGGACCCATGAGCAATTTTCTGCTTCTGAAGAAAATGTCTGAAGGAGGCAGAGGCATGCGCACAAGGTATTCAGCTCTTAAGCCTCATTTGTGGTTGAACACAGGAAGACTCCTTGCACCAGGTAGCAGAGACGGCCACAGTTCAGACATGCAGAAGGAGGAACATAGCAATACCTATCACCCCAAGCAAATGCTCTTTTTGAGGAAGAGAAAGTAGCTTAAGGGGAAAAGGTCTTGCTGAACAACCATTGTGTGAGTACTAGAAAACTACAGAGCCATGTTGAGTAAATCTCTATGGCTCCTTCTGGACATACCAAATCGCAGACTTGTTTTGTATGACAATGATACTGGGAAAACTACATGGAGGGCAGAAAAATCTTATTTCATTGGTTTCAGAATTTAAAAATTTAGACAGTTCCTCTATATAAGTTAAGTGGTAGCAAATATTTTAGAGCTTTCAATGATACAAACAGCCTACTGCAGTATATGTGCCATAGGTTCGCCACTACTCCTCTTATAGTTTTTTTTCCCTCACTATGTTGGCCAACAAAGCATATGTCTGAGATGTCAATGAGAAGTAATATTTCTTGATCATCACTACACACAGATTTTTACTCCTTTTTGGCTTTTCCATAATATTCTGTGCTTATTCCAGTATGAAGTCTAAATAGTAGTAGTAGTAGTTGTTGTTGTTGTTGTTGTTGTTGGATTTTCCATGAGCCATTAACTATTTAGGAGCACAGAATGTAGCCAAAAGTAGGAATAAATGAATAAATAAGCAGTGTTTAATGAATAAAGTAACTTAGCATTGTTCTTATTTCTTTCGGGGGAAAAAATATAACATTAAGCCAGAAGGATAAAAGTAGGATAGGAAAAATAAAATTCTTTCAGAAAATTTGATGAGCTTAAACTGTTTAGTCTACCCTTACTTAGTAAGACTGGAAGCCCAATGAAGTATAAATTCACCAGAAGATCTACAACTCACACAGACCAAGGGCAGACCTCAGCATTGGTACTATAGTGAAACCCTGGCTCACTGTCTGTCTGTCTGTCTGTCTCTGTCTCTCTCTCAAACATTATTCTTTTCTTACTGCAATGTACCTTTCCTTGAAGCCCACCTGATGGAAAACAGCAACTGACACTCCCAAATTGTACATATAACAAGAGGATGCCAGAAAATCCCAAAGGATCTGGGTCCTTCTCCTCTGAGGTCAGTTGCCCCATCCGAATCAACCACCTTGGCTGGAGAAGCAGTTACACCACATACAGGTGATTCATTCCACAGAAGTAAGATATGTGGAAAATGAATGAAGCTGGGATAGGGCAGTCTTAGAAAGGTCGTTCATGCAATATGTGGTAAAGTGGAAAAGAGTAAGATACAGATTAAATTGTACTGTGTGACTCCATGTTAAGCCTCTGAAAACATGCCCAAAATATGTTTCTGTTCCAATCAAAGAGGAAAAAAATGTGAAAAGCTAGATAGCAAATTGGCAGCTTTTGAGAAATGAAATACAAGGAAAGCTAACATTATTAGTTTTATTTCGGTGTTTATTATTTGAAGGGCCACAGTAATCATGTATTACATCATGATGTACATTTAAAATAAATTTATAAAAAACCAAAAGGGTGTCTGGGCCAATCATCCAACAGTAACTTATTACATTAGCATTTTTCTCCATCATTTAAGCTTAATAAAATTTGGAGAGCAAAAGAACTAACATTCGTTCTCAAGAATGGCATTTGTTGAACAGCAGTTTTCTTCCTTTGGCTAGATTGATCCAACGCATCAATATAAGATCATTCACTCAACATTCAGGAAGACATTTAGGCATCTGAAGCCTCCCAAAATATCATTTAGGAAAGAAATACACTGAAAATGGTAAAGCTCATGGATAATATCAAAATTTCAGGATTTAAGTTCCGTTTTATTTCTTTCTTCCCCATTCTCTTAACCACTGGGTCTCAC